CGCGGGGTCGCGGGAGGGTCACGTGGGCGGCGGGCTCCGGGCGGGGAGTCTGGGGCCGCCACGGTGTGAGGATGACCCTCTGGGTGCTTCGAGTTAGGGGTGCGCTAAGAGGGGGTCCCCGAGAACCAGACTTTGCACTGGGCGATCCCGCTTAGGACACGAGGAATTGCAGCCTTGGGGATCTCCGAGACCCGTTCCCGAACTTGCATCGGGTCTCTCTTAGGACCCACAAAGGTTGCAGTCTGGGTCAGTGTCCCCAAGAGCCACCCTCGAGCCTGCACTCAGCATTTCCATTCAGGAAACAAGGGCTGTATTCTGGGGGACCACTCCAGAGTCCGGGAGGGCTTGTGATTTGAAGGGGTCCTCTGGTTTTGCAGAGACCTGAGCTTGGGCATTATGAATGTCCCCAAGAACCACTCCTGGATCTGCAGTAGAGGACCCCTCTTAGGATCATGAAGACTTGCAGTCTGTTAGGGAACTGTTCTTAGGACTCACGAGGGCTTGGAATCTGAGGTCAGGGATGCTAGGAGACCCCTTCTTGGAACCCATGAGAGCTTGTAATCTTATTGCAGAAGTTGCATTCAAGGATGCTAGGAGACCACTATTGAGACACGTGAGGGCTCAGAATCGGGGGTTCCCAAGAGTGAGCACATACTTAGGAGGTGGAGACCCATCTTAGCACATACTTGCACCCTCCCAGAAGTTCCTTATAGGTAGAGGATCTTGCTTTACACACCTCTACTCCCACTTCCAATCAGGACAGGTGCTCCAAACCATCCCATTTCTGTCCCTAGGAAGGGACAAACGGTGAGGGGTGGGGAGAAGCCCTTCCTCTCGGATCTGGATGGTAAAGAGAGGACCCTTTGTTGGAGAGCCTGGGCCTTGGAGTGAGATGGGAAGGCGGACACGGGAGCCTGCTCTTGACTGTTTGATTAGTTCAGAAGAATTGTCCGTCTCCCTTTGGGAACATGACTTGTTTTGTTGTCAGCATATAGAAGTGTCATGTGCTGGTGTGACCCAGCTCAGCTTTGCTCACAACTGGTCAGTTCTGAAAGTTAAATGGCCCAGGCTCACCATGGATGGTGGAACCCAGGGGTTGTCCCAGGGCTAAGGACTGGTTCCTCCCGAGGTGGGAGGCACCTTTGGGTTACTGCTCTCTCCGTTGTCGTCTTTGCCCTCCTCCTCCAAGGTGGGGTGGGTTTAGCATGCCTTTTTTCTGGTCATTCCCCACAATGCCTTGATTAAGGTGCAGCTCACCCTGGAGGTGGGTGCTGTCAGTTGGGCGCCACCACCGCCTGGCACACTTTTGGTTTTCATAGTGAAGTAGTTTGGATCCGGAATTCAGGATTTGGGGGGGTGTGTTTGCTGGCTTGGGGATAATGTGGAGATGCTCTCTGTGCACTTGGAACTCCATTGTGTCCAAAGGGGTTTTTGTTTTGGTCATCTGGATGTCAGGTGCTTGAAGACAGAAGCTTGACAGAGGTATCTCAGGTTTGTTTTCTGTTGTTGTTGTTGAAGATGTCAGAAGTGAGAGACAGGAAAGTTGAAGTCCTGTGTGCTGCCCAGGCCACTTGTGGGAAGTGACCAAGGAATCCTGTCCTCCTGAGCTGCTATTTCCTTTGCACTTAGAATAGCCTGTGAGCACAAGTCTTGCCAGTAAGGGAGAACAGGGAGCCTGCAGTTCTTAGAAAACGTGGGAGACTTCCTAAAAGCTTCCAGAGTGTTCATACCCAAACTCCTCCTGAAATCGGGGAGCCACTCCAGGCCAAGGCTAGGGGTGAATTTTAGGGTTGCTTGGGGGTGGTAACTCATCTGTACTTCCTACCTCACCCTAGATTGCAGCCAAAATTGGAGGTGATGCTGCTACCACCGTGAATAACAACACTCCCGATTTCAGTTTTGGGGGCCAAAAGAGACAGCTGGAAGATGGAGGTAACTCCTGGTGGTGGCGGTGGCTGGCTTTGACCCCAGAGGGAAGCCTGAGGCTGAGAGGAGCGCTTGGTCCCAGTGGGGCTCCAAGACAGGGGAGTCGCCCAGTTTTTTGTTCCATCTGCCACTCTGAGGTATCAGGTAGCTGAGAGAAGGGCAGGTGGATTGTGACGGGGAAAGCTGTAGGTTCTTCCTGTGGGAGACTGACACAGGCAGGGCACAGCATCGCCAAGGGTGCTCCTAAGCAGGACACTTGTCCCTGGGTAGGTCGGGCTGTAATCTGGAGGGATCCGTGATGTTTAGTGGTCACATTGAAAGTAAACTTTGTCACTTTGTCTGGGGTGGTGAGTGACTTGGGCAAGTCGCCCCTTCCTTTCTGGACCAGCACCTCCTAACCCTCCATCTCGACTGTCATGCGGGATGGTGGTGACTATGCCTGGAACATGCCGCACCAGCTTTGGGGTTGAGGCGGTATGGGTGGGTGGTGTCGCATCTGACAGTCTCTCTCATCCACAGACCAGCCAGACAGCAAGAAACTGGCTTCCCAGGGAGACTGTAAGTCCGCTGGTGTGTGGGCACGGGGGCATTGGGAGCATTGGGTGTCCAGGAGGCCTGTGTGCAGTGGCTGAGAAGGTTTAAGGGTCCTCGAGCCTATGGCAATTGAAATAAAAGCCCTAGAGGCGGGCTTTCATAGGGAGAGGCCATGGTGCCCTCAGATGAGATCTAGACATAGAACTATGCCATGGGTACCATTTGCCCCTGGTGTAAGCAGGGGCATCATGGGTTGGGGTTGTGGGGCCTAGGTAGGCACTAAGCCAGGCTTTGCTTTGAATTTCTCTCCCCAGCAATTGGTTCTCAACTGGGACCCATCCATCCTCCCCCCAGGTAAGCTGTTCCCTGGCCTCCTGCTGTCTCTGGTTTGGGGTCTGGCATGGAGGCATCTGTGGAGCCAGGGGGTGCTGGCAGGCTGGGGACATTGTGGCCATGGGAGAAATGTGGCTCCTCGCTGCCCTGCCTCTCCATCCCTTCCTTGGGCTGAGTGCTCAGAAGCACTGGTTAGGACTGATCAGATGCTCCCTGGATGGGTAGTCAGAGCCTGTGGGTGTCTGCTGCTGTCTGGCTGTCTCAGGTTGCCTGGGGTGAATCTGACCAGGTTGTTGGGACAGGCTACTGGTTTTCTTTGAACGAGCCTGTAGTTTCTTGAAATATAGTAGTAGACACTGACTGGAGAAGGAGATGAACTCCGTGATGAGCCCCCTTTTTTACTGAAGTCTGGACTGTCAGTGTGGTATGAAAATGTCCAAGGTAGGGAAGCTGTAACTCAGCCAGTAGAGCACTGAGTGTGGATTCCCTTCCCAGTACCCTGCTCAAATAAACAAAAACAAAACCCACAGGCAGGGCTGGAGAGATGGCTCA